CCTGCCTAGAATCCCTCAGTGAGGGGCTGGGGTGTGGCTCAGTGGTAGAGCCCCTGCCTAGAATCCCCCAGTGAGGGGCTGGGGTGTGGCTCAGTGGTAGAACCCCTGCCTAGAATCCCCAGTGAGGGGCTGGGGTGTGACTCAGTGGTAGAGCACCTGCCTAGAATCCCCAGTGAGGGGCTGGGGTGTGGCCATCAATAGAAAGTTTGTTCAACATACGTTAGGCCCTGGGTTTGATCCAGAGTGCTGCAAGAAGTTTCTTTGTGTTTAACTTACAGTGGTAACAGGAGACCAAGTAGAACCTGAAGGCACACCTGTGCCCAACTACTGATTACTGAATGTGGTGACAAACACGGGTTCTCTTTGTTTGAGGGAAGCAGACAAGGGGCCAGCCCCAGCTGAGACAAATAATTCATGACTCTGGGTCCATAAGGATGAACAGGACCCAAGCTGGAGACTCTCTTCAGAGGACTCTTCACATGTGGGGTGGCTAGAGCTCCTGCTGTCTTTCTCCCAGCCACTTCTAGTATTGCAGAGCCACCCAGAACTGGGCCTCCTCAAAGTCAGGGGATCTAAGATGACGCTGTCACGGGGACTTGGCTTTGTGAGACAAGCGAGCCTGGGGAATTGCGGTGGGGAGGGCCTTTGACAGGAGAGGAGGCCATGTGCTGCAGAGGCGACTCGGCAGGAAAGAGCACTTGACAACAGGAGGACATGAGTTCAAATCCCCAGACCCCCACATTGTCAGGGTCGTCCCTGCACGGGCTCGTCACCACAGTGCTGTGCCGAGCAGAGACGGGAGGATCGCTGGGGTGGTCTGGATGAGATGTCCCTCATAGTCTGGAGCGAGCCCCGGGTGGTGGTGCTGTTTGGGAGGTGTGGCCTTGCTGAAGGATAGACAGCCCTGGGGGAGGCTTTGAGGCTTCAAAGACTCACTTCCCCAGTTCACCCTCTCGCCTTCCTTCCTGTGCTTTTGAGATGTGAGCTCTCAGCTGTTCCTACAGCCGTGTCTACCGCCTGCCAGGATGGACTCTCATCCCTCTGGAACCATAATCCCAAATAAACTCTCCTTCCAGAAGCTGCTTGAGTCATGGTGTTTTATCATAACAACAGAAAAGTCACTAAGACAATCACTGAGGCTTGCTGGCCACTAGCCTAGGTTCAGGTTAGAGACCCTGTCTCTCTGTAGTCTAGACTGGCCTCAAACTCAGAGATCCGCCTGCCTCTGCCTCCTAAGTGCTGGGATTAAAGGTGTGCATCACCATGCGTGAGGTGAGAGACCCTGTCTCAAAAGAATAAGTTGGAGAGCAATAGACTAGGTCACCCAACGTCCTCTGTCCTCTGTGGCTGACACAGATACATGTGCATACACTACACATATCACACACACACACACACACACACACACACACACACACACACACACACAC